AGCTGTCCACTGGGTACGGGTTAGGCTTTGTCCCAGCTCAGCCATACCTTACAGGAGTAGAAACTGTGTTGTGACAATGATTGTTTTAAAATGAACCTCATATTACTTGTCTTTTAAGGAAAATGAGATTATAAGGTAGTCTGATACCTGGCCGGAATGCTACGGTACACACAGTTTGTGTCGATCTCGGTTATGAAATGAGGATCTTGACATAGTTTGATGTAGGTTGTGATTTAACCTGGCCAAGCTGAGTCGCAGTTACAGAGGAGCAGCAGCATCACAAATGGCTGCGGGGGAAAAAGGCTTCGCCCGTGTCTCCGTGTCAGGTGTGGCTGCACATGCTGCAGTGACACCTTCCGATGGCAGTGCCGACTGACTGACGCTGAACAGCCAAGCAAACATACCGCTCATGAGCTGCAGCCGTCGCCGGGGTGGATGATGGCATTTTTAACCGCATACGAACCCGCTTGTACAAAAAGGTATAGTGAGTATGTTGTCAAAGGAAGGGTGAAGTTAATGGAGTGATAAGGACTGCAGGCATTGCGGGCAGATGGTAAACAAGCCTCTCAGCAACGATGCTCTTCAATCTTGTCTTATGCTGCCGTGGTGCTACAGCAGGGACTGCCATTTGTGTGACAAATACGGAGAGTGTGACATGGAGGAGATGCGCAGCGAGATGTACTTTAAAGCGACATAGCTACCTTGTTTTATGAGCGAGAAGAGCTGTCTTGTTTATAATAATCTGTTGTAGGGGTTGTCAGACCTATTACATTTCTTCATTTAGTTCAACTAAAATTTCTGAATGACTTGGCAGAAACTGGAACGATCAAATTATTTCAATTTTTGTCTCCAATCATGAATATTTGAGTAAAACTGATGCTCAGGAATGACACAGGAGCCAACCTTTTTCAGAAAAAATGTACCTACTAGTGACTTCGCAATTGTAACGTCAAGTAACTGCTCTTTTGGTTGCAGGAAGTTTAATTGCACAGTATGAATCTATTGGACTCAAAGTGAAACTCCTCCTGAAACCACTTTTAAATCATTTGTTGAAAACTTCCACTGAAATTGTTCCTTGAATCTGTGTTGTTTTTTTTTCTCCTTCTAGTGGGGAAGACTTCCTTGATCACCAGGTTCATGTATGACAGCTTTGACAACACCTACCAGGTAAATTAATCCATATTATTGTCTTCTGTAAGGCCCCTCTCTTGCCGTGTCTACTGTTGCAGGAAGAATCCAAGTGATTGCAATGGATAAGAGTTGGTACGCTGACCAAATTCTTAACTGTAAAATCTTTAAGCTTTCTATTTTAATAACCTTTCAGAATGGCATTTCAGTCTTGGATTCTGCTCGAGTAGCTTATCTGCTGCTTGCAGCAGGATGAGTTGTGGTTCGAAAGGACAGGCTTCTTGGGTATACCCAAGTAATAGCAGTTGTTAAGTCTACCAGTCTTTTTCCTTTTTTTTTTTTTTTTTTTTTTCACCGTTTGCTACCAGACCATCACAGATCTAATGCCTCTGCGGGGAAAATGTAACAGGCACCCGGCTCTCTTAAGAAAGAAGCAAGCTGAGCTGTGAGAGGCTCTGCAGCGGGGTGAACAAGGACTTGCGGAGCAGAAAGCAGTGGATTGTAGGGCTGGGTGTGCTTTAGGATGCTGTTTTACGCTGCCTGCTGGAACAAAGACCACAAAACTAGTTGCTGTGCACGTCCCCATCCTGTGACTGCTTATTTATGCTTACTTATTTAAACAATATTGGGGTTGGCAAGGCCAGGGCTGAAGCAGGGGTTGTCTTTTATTCCAATCGGTCCTGCAGCCCCCTCACTACTTCACGTTTGGTGACAAATCGGTTCAAGCTGACGCAAGCTAACTTTCCTAAATTCTAGGAGAGCAATCATTGTTGCCCACTCCCAGAAGTTAGGATGAGCTCAAAAAGGTGGCAAGCTATAAAAGTACTTCAGTTTCATAAAGCGTCTTCTCCAAGCAGAACATGTTTCATGACTTGGTTACAGTTGGTGACGTTCTGAATACACTAAGCTGAGAAAAATCTGTTCCCTGATGAATGTGAAGGGTTTTTTAGGGGGGTGGGAGGAGGAGGTAATGGGGGAAAAAAAAATAAGAAAAATGCTGTGACTCTTCTGTTGCTTAGTGTCATTCCAAGTATCTCGTTAAATCTCTTTACCCCTTAATGATTTCCTTCCTGCCTCTTCAGTAATTCCTCATTGCTGCTGCTAGGCAAGTTGGGTAGAATGAGATGTAAGTTCTCACTTAACTACGGGAGAAGCAAAGCTTCTGTGGTGTAGGAGGCCTAGAGTACACATCACTGCTCCCAAGGGAGCAAACATCCTTTCAAATTCTACCCACTGTAATTACATGGACATGTGAATGCAGTTCTTTTATTTAATCTGTTTTTTTCCCACAGTATTTTTCTTTCAGGTCTGCTCCTTTTCTCTACGGAGCTTGCGTCCTACTTCTTTCTTGAAGAGGTTTGACCCTCTGTGCTTTATGATAATATAGTTGTCTCCATGGGAAGCTGGTCTGACAGAATATACTAAATGATTGCAAAATGAATGAGTGGGACTTAAAACAGTAAGAAATCGTAATGGCTTACAAGATAGCTTCAATTTAGCTATCACCGATGCATGCCTGGCTTGGGTGTTAATGTACTTGATCTAGTGTCATTCATCCAAAGACCTCTACTTTACTGAAGTCATGACTGAGGTAGGGTGATACGTCCTATTTTGCTACAGCTGGAAGAAAGAATGAGTCATAAAAGCTCCAGTAATTTGGCCAAAATCACAGCACATGTTAGTGTCAAACCAGAATATAAATCTCTCGATGCCCAGGATTGTATAGAGACCTCTCAAAGCCAACTACTTGAATGATAATGCATATCAAAGTGGGTACGTGGTTAACTGTAGCTGTAGGTTAGTTGATGGGTGATTTGCTCGTTCTGGACGTTTCTGATAGATTTTGAATGCATGTTTTCTGAAAGCTGCCACAGCCTATCATTTGAACATGGTTTTTTGTGTTCGGTTGGTAAAAATAGCAAGCTGCTGTTTAATAAAATCTGTGCTGTGCATTAGTTTTCTTTTGCTTGCTGCTAGATAAGAGGAATTCAGCTGTTGCCCCCGTAGCTTATTAATAAGCTGCGTTCATGAAAGCGGCATTTGTGAATCAAACGGGAACTTGCTGTACTGTGTCAAGGCAACCCAAACACCTGAAATAAAATCGTGCCATTGGTGCTGTACCTTTTACCAGGAGCGACTCCTCTCCATGGACATGCTGGGAAAGATTTTCCTTCTTCTGTGCTACCTCATGTCACGTATAATGAAAGACCAACGTTGGCAAACGTGATGATTCTGTGCGTGTTACGCAAGAGGAGAATTACGGGCCACGCTTCCCTTTAGCTTCAGCCTCTTGGAGGAGGGGAGAGGGAGGACAGCGTCGAGTTGAAACGCCGGCCTGTGACTTGAAAGATAATGCAGGTTCTTGCTTGGCCTCAGGCTTCCTTCCATAGTCTTGGGTAATTCTGTGTCAGCAAGGATAGTCTATAACATGGGGTAACAACAGGTCCTTATTAGACAGTAGCGTTGTAAGGACGGGTGGATTAAAAAGCGTTCTTGTACGCGGCCCCATCCGTAGTGTGGCCCTCTCGAGCTTTTGTTGTTCTGCTTCTCTTCTTTAAACTTGCAATTAGCACTTAGAGTACCTCGCATCATGTTCAGAGCGCGCCTAGTTCCTGCTTGTACCATGCAATGCACAGCATTTCCCAAGCGGGTTAAACCTGCCTCCACCTTCGTTACGGTAATTAGCTTAGTTTCACGTCCCCATCAGTAAGCAGACTTCTCTGCTCATACATTGCACAGCTCTTCTTTACAATAGGTCTGTAAAGATGCACCAAGCTTTTTTGCTCCTTCTGTCAGAATTGTGACAAAATGCCTCTTTGTATGTTACCTATTTTAGTAAAAGCCTGGGATCTAGCGTGCCCGAATCCTCTCCTTGACATCTGCTGCTTCTCTGTATCGTCGTGATGTGGTCAGAACAGTACAGGTGGACAAATACACTGGGCTGTGAGTTATTCCGTGTAATTCTTAAAGCTTGTGGGGGCTTAGGTCAAGAGCCATTTCACAGCTTGAAAGTATCAGACCTGCCATATGTTCTTCTCAACGTGATTAGCACAAATACTGTCATCGCCCAGATCTGAAGTAAGTTTTGTGCTTGACCTTTCTGTTGCGTTTCCCATGCCGAGAGTGTTCGAGTGCAGGAATCTCACTAACCCCATGCATTTCTGCATGGCGCTTGCATTTCCAGCAGGCACTCAGCGATTTCTTACGGCAGGGAGCGAGCTTCAGAGCTCTTGCTGCCGTGCGGCTGCGTGGGAGGGATGGCATCAAGTACAGGCTGAGGCAGGTTTCGGGCTTTGCAGCTGATGTTCCAGCTCCTACTGAGAGCAGAGAAAATCTGAGTCTCCAGCAGTTTGTCAGCCTGGATCCTGACTGGTCTATACAGTGTAAGATCTTAGGGGTTTTGTAGCTTTTCTTCTGTAAAGCAAAATCCAATAGACACAAGGGAAAAATAGAAGCATCTTTGAGGCAATCTTTTGAGCAATACTCTTTACCAAAACAATACAAAACAAAAGCAGAAGGGGAGCGTGTTGTTGCATTAGCCTTTTGAGGCTTCTCGTATCCGCCTCACAGTTTCAGTATCATCTCTCTGAACTGGTAATGTCGCAGTTCTCGATGACCGGTGAAAATCACTGGGTAGCTGTCTTGGAATCCACCAGTATTTATTTTTCCTGTATGCATCTCTGATACTCCAAACCGCTGTCCTGATCCAGCCAGGAAAGTTTGGTTTCTGAAGTGTTATGTTTAGTTGCAAATGGAAATTCAGTTTGGATTGTTCAGTTCTGCTTTTTTTTTTTTTATTCATTTGCAGCTGGTTTTCATGTATTGCTCACAAGCAGGCTGGCTGGCTCTCTTCTTTATTCCTACCACGTAAAATATCTGGCAGAATACAAGGAATTAATTATGGGGATATATAGTGAGGGCATAATAGTCTAACATTGTGGTGCATATAGTAAAATAGACCCTCCGTTAGAAATACGTGCTTCAGTGTGGGAGGAGGTTGTATCGAGCCTCTTTGCCCTAGCTGAGAGACTTCCCTCTTATCTGTTGGGTTTTATTTTTTTCTTTTTTTAAATCCAATTTGTTTGGAACATCTTCCAGGCTCTGTTGATGTTGCTGAGCGGAGCCAGGGCAGCCTTCCAGCTCCAACAGGTCAGCTCGGTTGCACCCCTGCTGCAAACGAACTCATAGAGCTTGCGTTCACCCTCACTGCGGCCTTGAAAAACGGGGTGAAAATCTTGTATTTCAGAAGCAGCTCTTGGCAGCGCTTAGGAGCGCTTTGCTCTTTCTCTTCAACACATCTAAGGATGTTCTACGCGAAGCTCCCACTAGCGTCTAGAAATTTGGATGCAGTTATGCTGCAGTGAGCTTTAGTATTAACTGAGCTTTAGGAATTGTTGGGGGCCGTGTGCGTGCGCTCTTGTGTTGCAGCAGGTGTGAAGATGTCCACCTTAGCCTTCAGGAAAAAGGCTTAAAGTTAAGATACATGAAGGTACTTGGCAGTCAGGAAGAATACAGTGTGCCCAGATATCCTGGCTCAGCTGATGGACACTAACATAGGTTGTATGCATAAAAATCCTTGCTGATACCTGTATGACTGTATGGGTTAAACTGTCAATATGCATAAACTGAAGTTAACAACCTTTTGTACTTTAAGATGTTGTTCTGGTTATGGATATTAAGGAAACTGCTTATTGAATCTTACTTATAGGTAGAGCTATATCTCGAAGGTAAGAAAGCCAGCATATTTTTCTCGCAGATGCACTACAGGTGCTGATTCTGATGTGGCAATAATGCTCGCTCCCCTGAAAATCACTACAGTTGTTCCGACGTTTTATTTAAGAGGTATTGGTTTTCTCATTTTTTTACAGGCAACAATTGGCATTGACTTCTTATCGAAAACCATGTATTTGGAGGATCGAACAGTGAGTAACGTTTTTGTTGCGCTTCTCTATGTACAGTAGGCATGAGGATCAGCATCTGCTGTAATTGTGCAGCCCACAGTTCTGAGATCACTTGGAAGTACAGACTGAGCCTTCCTCTGCCAGCTGCTTCCAGACTGACAAGTGCTGCGGAGACGGCTCCCTTCTCTGTTTGGGGAAATGGGAAATCACCATTTGGTTCATCTGTGGAGGGCTCATGAGTGCCATTTTACAAGCAGCAGAAGGTGCTGTAGTGTCATCCTCTTTGAAGAAAGAGATGATACGGATGGTTTGAGAGATGCATAATGGTGGGAATTTGGAGAAGGGGACCATGCTTAACCCCTTCCGTTTTTGATGTCACAGGACAGAAAGATAAAATATAAATTGCCAAATGTTGCCAGTTAATAGCTAGCTCTATTCTTAACATTACTCATTTAAAAAGAAGGTTACCTTCAATAGTAATCCACAAATGATACTCGTTTCTTAGCCTGGTGCAGTTCTAGTTCCTGAAATGAAATCACTCCTCTGTGGAAGCAAGCCTGTGGTGTAAAATGAGCTCAGATTCTTAATTAAGAAAGTCAGCCATTGAGCTATTTGCAGAAGCAAATTGTGCAGTGCTGCATAAGCTTATGGTATTGTATAAACCCACAATAAATGTGATTGCATCGAAAGTGCTCGAGTGATGAGATGTCCTTCCCATAGCAAAACAGGCCCTTGCGCATCTTGCCATACGTGTTGCTTTTAGTATATCTTGCCTTTTCTTTCAGAACCTTGATGGTAAGAGACATTCAACCTCATCTGCGCGCATGTTACTTCGCAGTGTGGCTAAGGCTTAAATATAGCATTTTATCCTCCTCGAAAAATTCACATTAGTAGCTTTTCCAGGGCTTTGACAGCAGCTGAAGACTCTTCCTTTAGAAGTATGGTGCGTGTGGTCTGATTCTTCCACCAGCAACCACCCTCCAGGCTGCTGGAGGTTGTATGTGCGAGTCCTGAGGAAGGACAGCAGCAGAGCATGAACATCTTGTGTAGGCAGAACTGCAAGTGAACTGGTCCTCTCAGTTTGAAACCTGAGCAATTCTATTTCTCCCCTTTTGGAAGGGAAACATTTTTTTAAAAGGCAAAGCCAAGATAGGTGCCCATATACCAGTTTGGCTACTACTAACGCTTGGGAGAGATTGCTGTAAAGGAGACAGTATGCTGCTGCTCCCAGTCCCCAGTCATCTCCTGCATGAGTTTATAATTTTTATTTAGCTTTTTTCAAAAAGTGAAATTTATTTACTCTTTTATTTTTAGTGGCAGTTTGGCTTTTTTAATTTTCTCCCACCCACAGATCAGGTTGCAGCTGTGGGATACTGCGGGTCAGGAACGTTTCCGTAGCCTCATTCCCAGTTACATCCGTGACTCTGCTGCTGCTGTAGTAGTTTACGATATCACAAGTAGGTATATTGCACTGGGTTTGACCTTTTTCTTATTTTTCTTGCTTGTTTGACTGATTTTGTTAGGTACGGTTGCAATTATGGGACACAGCAGGTCAAGAACGGTTCAGGAGCTTGATTCCTAGCTACATTCGTGACTCCACTGTTGCAGTTGTTGTTTATGATATCACAAGTGAGTGGGGGGAATTCTGCATTTCTAATACTCTGCCCCTTTCATCCTTTAGCCTAGCTTTGCATGTCCTATCACAGTCATCTGCTTGTTCTTCATTCTGGCATGAAAAAGAAAATGTTTTCTTTTATTGTAGTCCAGTCTTAAGCTAGCCACCCGATTGCTGCTGTCGTAATGTATAAACTGTCTTACAAACGACATCATTTTGTAACCCTTTCCTATTGCATTCTCCTGAAGCCTTGAGTCCTGGCTGGTCTTGTTGCACTTTACCCTCTTTCATCTGCTTTTTGATCGTAATATCACCTATGACTTTTGGTCTCAAACACCTGAATCATGTTCATAGATATTTGAATTCTTAAATTAGAGACTTTGCACTGATAGCTGTAGCTTGCTTCACTCCATTTGCCCTCCCCCCCCCCCGAAAAAAATCTGGGCATGGGCTGGGGGGGAAATGCATTAACATCACATTTTCATTTGAATCAGTCACTTGCACATTTTGCAATACGTAAAACTCACCACTGAGCCCTTATCCTTTAACAATTGCTCTTTCATTTCTTACTAAGGTATGTACATTTTTGTCAACTAAAATATCAGTGCTTTTTCAACCCTTCTTCTTCTGTCCCTCCCCTCAGTCCAGAGACCCCTAACTTACTAGCTTTAGGTATTTCCAAAAACCAGAAATTTTGTTTTAGGAGAACTAAACCTTCAGACACTTTCAGTTCTAAACCAGAATTGCCTGTGAGCGATGGCCTAATTCTATACACATGCAAAAGTGCTCATCCTTTGATTTATAAATACTAGAAGATTACAAAATACAGCAAGAATACGGGCTTTACCTGTAAAAGCTTTAATTGTTAAAAATAGCACTTCGTTTGAGCTAAAATTACAGGTTAGCTGTGAACTCCGAAATTTTTTTACTGACCTAGCAAATTCAATATTACCAAGTAGTAAAGAGAAGAATTAAGATGCTGGCAAGCGATCAAGTCTTGACTGCCTAGCATACGATATATTACTATGCAGTAGAAGCCATTAAAAAAAACCAATACTTGTCAAGAACTGCTGCAGAGCCTCCCCCTTTTTTAAGTGCTGCAGACTGCTTTGGCAACTCAGATGCTCTTTGTGTAGCTAACTGGCAAGTGCTGAGCTCCATGGCAGCTTCTCTACAACTCGTTTTTCCTTACGGGATGCAACTTTTCAAACAACATGCTGTCTCGTTAGATCGGGATAGCTTCCTAAAATTTGTATCTCGCAGCTTTTGAGGATGTATCATTAAGAAAAAGTGTCTGTGGCTAGGCTAAATTCGTATTTCTGGTTCTATGCAAATGATTTGGAAACTATTTTGAACTCGGTGTTCAACGATGGTACAGGAGTTGCTAGTATCTTCTGTAACCCTGATATTTCCTAGAGAAAATCCCCAACCTAGCAAGTAAAAAGTGATGAAGCTGTACAAAATGCGTAGCGGGTATTAAGTACTTTTGAGAAGCGATGAAACTGTAGGAGCCTCTTGCTGTAGATGCACAAGTCATGAGCAGTGTAGAATGCAATATCACCTTAATCCCCGGTCTCTGTATAAAATATTTTATCTTGAACTAAAAAAAAAAAAAAAAGAACTAGTCTAAAACACAATGATAAGGCTTCTCATTTTAGACGCTGTCAAAACCAAATTATAGATCAACTCAGTTCACTCCCTGGCTTTGAGTTCACCTGTCATGAAGTACTAGGCCGTTTTAAGTTAATGCCAAAGTTTTCATATACTTCAGCGTGGGAGACTTAGGGTTTCACTTGCTGGTTCTTCGTCTCACCCTATTATGCCAATGCCAGCGAATATGAAGCTTTGATTTGAGACTTACAGATGTATTTACTGGTGATCTGTGAAGAATACCTGCAGTGATAATCCTCTCCACTGTTCTCTGTTAGATGTAAATTCGTTCCAGCAAACAACAAAATGGATTGATGATGTCAGAACGGAACGGGGCAGTGACGTCATCATTATGCTGGTGGGAAATAAAACAGATCTAGCAGATAAGAGGTATGGAGGGATAACTCATCTTTCAAATGTTTTTCTTAAATCTGCTGCTCTTTTCTCCTAGACACCTATTTTAAAAAGAACACTTGTATCTTTTCTGTTTTTTCTTTCCCAAAATGCTCAAGCTTGTTTTATGCTGGAGATGGCTGTGACTGGAGAAATCTCCATTTTAAAACCTCTTTCATTTGGTTAAGCACAAGTTTCCAGCACAACGCTGTGAATGAATTGAGAAACTGTCACCAGCTTGTTCGGATGTCAGGAGAGAACGGAGCGTTAACTACAGCCTCCATCAGTGAATGAATAAGCTAAAGTCGTTAGAAATATTCATGCTTAATAGATGTGCTCAGATATAAATGACAGGTGCAAGTAATCTTTCCTTTTAAGTCTTTGGGGTTTTCGTAAGTTGGCAAACTTAAATATTTTTATTACAAGTTGTGCATCTTCAGCTTTCGCTGCATTGTGTACTCTGCTTATTCTGGGTTTATGGTATTCTTAACCCAAATGAGTAACAAGTCACAAAGGTTAAAAAAAAAAAAGCATGAGAGGGAAGTTCTCTGGATTTGACTGAAATCCCCATTTCCTCAGAATAGCTTCGCTTGTGGCCCTTACTTCAGATTTATAATGTCCTATTCAGAGCTGTTTGTGCACACATATGCCCCTCATATACCTCATGATTTTTGTTTGGCAGCTCTTGAACCAAAGTTTCCCCCAGTTTTTGCTGTAGGAGACTGTGTAACGGGTGGGACACCCAGCAGGGGAAAACAGGACAAAATCCACTTGATACGAGGTGGTTACACTTGGTCCTTTGTTAAAATAGTTTGGTACTGCAAGTTGACAATTGTTATTGGATATTAAAATCTATTGATGGCTAATTGTTCGGCCATGAATGCATAGCTTCCCAGACAGGGATCTGGGGGAGTCTAGCTGGCCCGCTGAGCTGTTCCACTGGAAAGCTGAGTCCTGCTTTGGGAGCCGGGTGTGCCGTGAAAGTCCATCTGATACGATGAAATGGTGATACTTGTCTGCAGCTGTGCTCAGTATGTGGCGTCTGTATGCAGGGAAAAAAAACACTACATGCTTTTGGAACTATCATGAAGCAGTCACCTCCTTGGGTTGAAGAGGAAAATCTTAATTTTCAAAGTGTTTGTGTTTTGGTTTTTTTTTTTATTTCCCTCCTAATTCTGTGTTATCTTCCCCAGACAAGTGTCCATTGAGGAAGGAGAAAGAAAAGCCAAAGAGCTGAATGTAATGTTCATCGAAACTAGCGCAAAAGCAGGATACAATGTAAAACAGGTGAGTAACGTGGTGGCTGCAATCAACCCTGAGACTACCTGGGTTAGTGCCCCGTTGTGGAAACGGGACTTCGCTGGACGCTGGGAAGCCTTTGCAAAGGGTGTCAGAGGGACGTTTGTGGTCCGTACGCAGCAAGCAACATCTCAGAGTTGAATTGTTGGCTGAGGTTCAGAAGGATCCCTGACCTTGCAGCAAATCTTAAAGGTCTTTTCCAACCTAAACGATTCTATAATAGTAGTTTTCTTTTTTTTTCTTCCCAAATGAGAGCGTGGAAAACTCTAGAAAAGCTAGGAGTGAGACAGGAGCAAAGATGAATATTGTGTGAGAGAAAGGGCAGGTGAAGAGGAAAGGTGGAAGTTGTGTTTTGTGGAGTCCTCATTCCATTTCCTCTGCCCTCTTACACCCTTTTTTACCCCTTTCTCTCTTTCTTTCCTTCCCTTCCTTCCCAAATGACTTGGAACTTCTTTCCCCTTAGAAAAGGGGAATTATTGAAGAAGCTTTGTGGGTACGGAATCGTACCTTCCTGGATTCTTGATAATCCAGATTTGGTGTTTAGATTGAAGGGATTAAGGCATGAGGCAAAATGTTGGGGAAACACAGGTCTGAGGACTGTTTCTGATATCGATTCAGTGAAAGAATGTGGGCAGACCAGTCAAGGAGGAACGTGATGGCTTAAAGTGCTTCCACTGTACAGTGAGACAGCGTAAACTGGTGTTCCCACTCTGTTGGAAGACACTGAAAGCACGAGCAAATGGTCTTGGACAGCCCAAGCTATTTATTTCTGGTAGATGATGAGTTGCTTTTGAATCAGGGAAAGCAGTGAAATGTCTTTTGAGCTGATGCAACTGCAATGAAATTAGGTTTTGTGTTGCAAGATGAGCTGCGGCTCTTTAAATTCTGACCTGCTAGATGAAGTTTTAGCACTTGTGTTAATGAAGATAAATCACTTGGCAAACAGTGAACTGGTGAAAGCAGTGCACTGCAGAACTGATCTGGTGTTTACACGAAAGAAATTTTGTTTGAGCTTATTAGTTATGTAAGCAAATATGCTTACTCGCAGATCGTGAAGAGAGAGCTCGAGCGGTGCGTCCCTACTGACTCAGTGCATAACGGGATGCCGCTTTTTCATTGATCTAGCGATTTCTCACGGGGAGTCACGACTGCTAAAGCGTTTGGCAGCTGGTCTTATGGGAGGAGGAGAAGCGGTAGCGCAAGATGCGGAAGATGCAGAAGACATTCATTCTTGGGTGTCTCCATAGAGCAAATGCGTGCACGCACATACACCACGTGTATATTTTTATACATATAGTTTGTATGGAGAATTGTACCAGGAGTTGCTAAAACAGGGTTATAAATTACTTTGTATGCTATAGACAGGACTAAAGGGTCTGTTATTAAAATGTCCCTTGACTTTGTATATTAGTAGCAAAATTATTCCCTATATAATGGAATAATTAGATGTGTTAACTTAGCACTGCTTTTCAGTGCATTAGCAAGCATAAAAGTGTTCGGTTCCAGGGTCCACCAATTATCCTGCCACAACGCAGAGCCTGGCTTGTAATTAAGGCTTGGATTCTGTGCTGGAATCCTTAATGTTTACTTAGACTGGGGCGTGTGCACTTGAGAGCAGTCGCCTCGCTGAGAGGAATGATGATGATGATGATGAAGCTCTGTACTCCCTCTTTCCTTGAGGGAGTTGCTGTGCAGCTGATGGGTTTCCAGGAGTCCACGTCCAAGCCTGTAAGGTAGCTTGTGGCTTTTGGGGCCGGTTGGAGCCCGGATGATTGGAGACGTAAGGAGGAAGCTCTTGGATGGTATGCCTGCAGTCCGTTTTGGCGTAAGATACTGTCGTTTAATAAAACACGTGCTTTGTAAAGCTACCACAACCTTCGTCATGCAGGATGGTAGCTCCATTTAATACATTATGAAGGAACAAACTTTGCCTTTTTGTATTTTATGCTGAAGCCGTTCAGGGATCCTACTAATGAGATCGTCAGAGCATAAAGCCATTTCTGTAGCTGCAGCCTCACTTGCACACTCTCTAGAGAAAATTCTTCGTTGTATAACGGAGGTCTAGACAAATTACGCCTCTGATTTTAATTGCCAGGTTACATGCTGTAAGACTGCTGCTGTGAGAAAATAGATTTAGTAATTCAGCTCCAGCAAAAAAAAAAGCAGTGGCGGGAACCTGGGGGCTAGTTCCCTCTCTATTAAGTGGAAGGTTTGGTATCCCGAGACATAATTTTTGTTCTTCACTAACATCAATAAAAAGTAATATCTAAAAAACTTGGGGCTGTTCCATATCCCTGCAACATAATCCGAGGGGGTACTTCATGTAGTGTGAGGTCTTGTCAGAATTGGACAAGAGGACAGATTTTAAGTGACTTCATTCTCTGTGTAAAATATCAAAACAAAAACCACGAGTGGTTATTCAGAAAGAACTAAAAACAGCTTTTTCTTCTGAGTTTTGATCCTTGTGTTGCAAGCGTGGATTGGGATTTTCAGGAACTTCAAAGCTATTCTGTACTGCAGAATATTTGAAACTCTCAGTTTTTATTAGTTTAATAAATAATTGTTGAAACAATTCTCAAAGGATGAGACTTCCGATACCACTAGTTATCTAGTTCTCTGTTCTCTTTGCAGCTTCTCTATTGAATGGTATGAATTTATTTTACTAACTTGCCAATGAATTCTTCCCCAATGAAATGGGAAAGCATATGGGTACAAGTGCAGAAAGGATACCCTTCCCAGAACCTGTATAAAATGTTTCTTTAATAAGCTGAATGCAAATTTGACCTTCCCGTAACTGATAACTTCTATCCATAATGTAGTCTGATTCTGCAGAACAATTACTGTCCGAGTTAATTTTCGTACAGGATTTTTTAATTCAAGTGTCAAATTATTTTAGATACAAAGTCCATATTTTGACTGCATATAACGAAACACATTTATATAAAAATTAAGATCACCTAGTGCCGGATATTAAATATTAATGTAAAGGTGAATCTTAGACTAGTGACGAGTCGCTGGTCCACTAGGGTATAGCTTCAGATTTAGCAATTACCGTGCAGCTTTGATGCGGCTTGTGACTGAAATTTGTAGATTAGGGAATATGAACTGTTTTGTTTGTTCGTTTTTTTAATTTTTCTTGGATGCAAAACTCTCGCCTCCCAGTATTAAAACTTCTCAGGCCGTCAGTGCTTCACTTGGCAGCCTTGGGCAGTTCAGAAAAGCTGACAAAACGCTGTTGTTTCCCCTGTCCTCTCTTCCCAGCACAAAATCTGTCTCCTGGATCTAAATCCTGTGCCCTGGATTAAAAGTAGGGAACGGCACAAGTTGATGCAGAAGGAGACTTGGGATGAAGTTGAACCCTTAGTCCTCCGTTGTTGGCTTCTTTGCATTGCCATCCCTTTCACATTAAGGTTTTGGGTTGTGTGCGGCATCAGATGTAGACATTTTGATGTTACCAGTTCCAGAGCGAGCCTTGTTTTTACTGATGCCTCCTGTACGGCCCACCCTAGCTTCCCTGCTTTCTTTCCGTCCTCTCTTTCAGGTCAGAGATGCGAATGCCAGTGTCACTCGTGTGCAGGCAGGTCCTGGAGACGTGACTTGCAACCAGGCCTGACTGCCAGGCAGGGTTCCCCGGAGCAGAGGCAGCCGTTCAGGCAGCTCGGGCGATGCCGTGGGGCGCTAGCCAGTACGCTAACCTCATTCCAGTCTCAGTCAGACGTTGAAGAACGATGTCTTCTCACAGGTGGTGAATCTTAGCGCTGTTTGTATGGGCCCAAGCACTAGGGTTCTCCAAGGGGTGCTGTCCCCAAGGTTTCAGAAGCAGTGTTTGCCCCATTCAGGATGCGGAAGAAGCTTAATTTCTTGTCCTGCTTGGGGACAGTAATGGCTAAGACTTTTTCACTTCCTCGGCCCTGTCGCTTGTTTGCTCGCCATCAGTGGGAAGCCAGGGTACTCTTGACCTTGTGTGCTACTTTTAGCTTCTCGTTCATCCTTTTCTGCTGGAAGGCAGCACTGATAAGAGGAAAGGGCACTGTCTTCAGCTCTGTGCTCACTGTAGCTATCCTACAAATCCAGAGTGCCTGGCTTTATAGTGTGACTCCAGAAGTGTGACCGTACTTCAAACAGCACGTATTTCAATGCCAGCATCTTCCACCAACGCAGAAATAGAGGGGAACATACTGCTGGCAGGCTTTTTTTGCCATTCTCCTGGGGCATGAAAGGGGACAGCTCAGAAGACGACACCTCAGCTAACACAGTCGTGGGGACCGAGGTGGAAGTGAGTAACCTGTGGCTTCGTTTAGAGGCTCAGAAGTGGGTCTCCGGGTGGTCACTGCCGAGAAGTAAGAGGATTTGCAGCCTGTGTATGTGCTGGCTGAAACCTGGACACGGCAGGCTTTTGTTTTATGACTTCTCTGGCATTTCTTTTCCCCGAGGACTGATCTGATGAGCTGCTGGGGCAGGCCTCATCTCTGCTAGTTGCACGCTGTCAAACTAGATAGTAACGTACAGCCGCTGTGTACTGTTGTACCTGTTAAGGTAGATCTCTCTCCAGTCACCAGGGCCCTATAGGCTTACTGTTCCTTCTGGCTTTGGGGAGGGGGTGTTGAAGGAAAAATGAGTGGATGATATTATGGAGTAAAAACGGTGATAGTATCGTTCTGGGGTTAAAGTGATGCAATAGAGGGGGAAAAAAATTGGCTTTTGGATCCTGCAAGTTTCAGCAAAGACTGATTGCCGGGGAGCCTTAAGACTGAGGAGAGAAGTAGATAACTTGCTTCAGTTGATGCAGAGAATCGTAGTCTCTGATTCATTTTATTTGTCAGCCCTGAATAAGCTTTAAAAGACTTTGAGATTCATGCTCTATCTCGGCAGTCTGTATTTCAGGGAATCTTATTGTTAGTCTATTCACACCCAGAATATGTCAGGGTTCATTTTGCTGTCTTGTAGACAGAGAGGGGAGGGAGAGCCCTGAAGACCTCCTTCCAGCGGCACCTGGCATGCTCCACGTTTGCTCTCAAAGAGCCACAGGCTGAATATGGTATTTGGCAGAAAAGCTTTCTCACGGCAGTAGCTAAAGGACCGTGGCCCCTTGAGTAACCCTGTTTTCACAGAGCTGGCCGCATCTAGCAGCTTGGCTCTTTCTCCCGTCTTGATTTTTGTCTATCTGATGGGCAAGAATTACTCTTTGAGTTGCACTGCTCTCCTCGGAGAATGAGAATTAGGGAAACATTTTTGTTTGCTTTGCATTGGGGAACAGGTTTCTCGCCTGGCTTTTCCATCTGGACAGTGATCCTCCTGTCCTTTCCATATTGCTGCAGGAGTGTTACAGTGAAAACTGTCTTATGTCACAAAACAGTCGTTTGTGACGCTGATCTGTTGGGGATTTATTGGCTGGAGTAGTAGGAAAGGCGCAGTTTGGCAAATGAGTTGAAATTAATGGCGAGAGATGAGGGTTTGGGTTTTTTTTTTTTCCCAGAGTTTAATCAGGAAGGAGATTGCAGGATTGAATGCTGAAAGAGACTTTGTGTGGCTCTCAGTCTCCCAGACGGCTGCATTTAACTCCTGCCTTGGCAAAAAAAGTCCTGAATGCTCACCAATACATGTATTTTTATACACACACGCATATGCACAAATATATATACATATATGTGTGTGTATACACCCTATATTCCATATGCATATATATGTGTGCAACTGCCTGCGACCTTTTTTGGTGAGATGGGACTGCTGGCGCGGGTCCTGAAGGCACTGCGAAGCAGTGCGGTCCCTGCGTAGAAGGCTGCTTTCTAGCCGTCGTGAAGTTTCCCTAATTGGATTTGTTCACATATGCTGTGGCTGATAAGCAGAAGGTTAATAAGAAAGTAAGTTGGTTTTCTTAGTTGCCCAATGCCTTTTTTTAGTCAAATAATTTAGGGGAGAAATACCGCTAAAGGCATCATTTTATTCCTGGTCTTGAAGTAAAGAAAGGATTACTGTATTTTAAACACTTCGCCTTTCTGTCAGCAGCTTGGTTTAAATGCAGTAATTCCAGCTGGTTCCTATCAGCTGAGGTTTTTTTTAAGACTCCCCACCCCTCCCCTCTATAAACTGCATCCCTCACTTTCTACGTATCGTACAAGGGGGAAATAAATAGCAATGCCATAGTTTAAAACAATTATTTTTTTTTTTTAAATGCTGTTTCCACCTAGGATCTCAAAGCGCATGACATCAGCAAGGAGCTGTATGAAATGATGCATTTCCTTCTCTCTTATCAAAGACGTCAAGTGAGCATCCTAATTCAGGCACGATCTGGTAGGATATCCGTCCTTAAAACTGATGGGAGAGGGGTTTTCCTCCCCCCCCTCAAACCTTCCGCATCAAGAACCAGGTCAAAATTATTATTCTGAGGAATATGAGCCAAAAAAGCAGTGTAGTGGAAGGGTAGGTGAGCTCGTTTGCTCCGTTCTTTACCTCTGATGTATCACTTGCGTATCAGCAGGAGCGTGTGTGTTCGAGGGGCGAGAGGTCTAACACATCTCCCCCTGCGGAGCTAACAGGGACAGAAGTAGCGACGAAGCGATGTGCCAGAGAGGAGCAGAGTTTACCATAGCATCTATTTATGCGTTGGCAACGTACCGGTACGCTTCGGAAAGCACAGCCGTAGATGGTATTTGAATATTTCGCAATGCAGTCTGGTGGCTGTCCAGTAAGCCTTTTTCTTTTTTTGCCCCGAAGTCACAAAGCTGTTTTCCATCCTAAAATTGAAGTTGAGATCCGTCAGTCAGCCCGTGAAAGCTCACTGACTATTGAACGTTTTGAGAGAAGAAGTAATTTTAGGGACAAAGCCCAGTAAAGAAGGAGAGTCAGAACCTTCTGTACCCAAATGTGATCGAGTCGGGAAGTTTATTGAAGGCTGTTAAAGGCAAAGAAAGCATCGAGACTGCAAAGTGCTTGTGGATTCAAATATGGTACTAAAACTTTTAAGGCTTCCAGAGGAAGATGAGATTGAATCTCAATTACTTCTTGATGGTCCCAAGGATGCAAAAAACTTATAATGAATAGTCTAGTGCTATACTGAGTGAATGAAAAGCCCTTTGAGAAGTAATAAAGCTAAGAAGGTTGGCAGTGCTGTCCTCTTATCTGATTGGAACGGCAAGGAAAAATAATGCTGACCACGAGGATGTGATGGGAGATTGCTCTGAAAGGCTGCAGCTTCTTTCTTCTCCCCCATTGCATTCTTATAAGCCAAAGTGCTCATGTCTGACTCGTTTAAAAATGCTTGGAAAATGATAGTCACGTTGCTTTTCCAAGCAGAATTAAGAGTGAAGAGTGGTGGTGAGATGAGGCAAGCAGATACAGTAACAAGAAGCGGTGAGCTCAATTGGTAGGACGTTTTTTTTGTACTAGGATTACAATTAGATCGATGCCTAGCTTTTCCCCTGTGTCAAAATTATCTTAATTCTGACCAGGAAGGCTCTCCTGCCTTTATACTTTCGGGTGGTCGTGCAACTAGTACAGTTCAGGATCTGGAATTTTGACATGATCTTTGTTACTCCATTCTTGACGTAGGAGAATTTGCCTGAAAAGTTCATTTCAGTGAGGCTGGGAGGCTCAGGTTAATGGCAGAGGTTAATAGAAACTTAGATGGGGATAGTAAGCTTTTTTGCTTTGAAATTGTTAGCTAAAATCAGTGAAATACATCAAGCACTGGCTTCCCAGGCCTATATCCTCGTCTCATCGTCCAGGTCTCGGTGTATGGCCACACAGTGGTGTTGGTGAAAAAGGGGTGAGGATGCTGGAGACGGTTTCTAGAGTGGGTATATGAGGGAGATGATGGGAATGGTGAAGGAAAGCAGCTTTGCTGCCTTCTACCTGTCAGTTTTGTCCTCTCCTCACGTCGTAGTCTCTTCAGTCAGCAACAGACAGCGGTGACAGCAAAGGTCAGACACCAAGGAGCGTAGCGTGCTTGTGCTCCTGCCCTGCAGCGGTCACGGCCGCCCCTGACAAACCTGGGGGCTTGTTCCTGATTACCTTGGGCCGTACTTGTCCAGCTGACAGGGTTGTCTTAACGTCTGCCCAGCATCGTTTGGACATTCAGGGCCAAATTTGCAAAAGCGCTTGGGCACCGATCTGCAGAGCTGTTCAGGTACCTACGTTCATAATATAAGCAGACTGCCAGTGGCTTGGTTCAGTTTTCTGTGGGAAGTGGGTCACTGGGAATAAGTGGTTTAGCTTTGTGTCATTTGAGGAGAGGACTGAGAATAACGTGCGATAACGTCGATTTAACGCGTTACGGCTGACGTCAGACTTGCACCAGGCGTTTTGGGAGTCCCGAGCTGCTGTCGGGCCTGCAGCGGGGTGATTTTAACAGACAGATGGACGGAGGTGCTGAGCCTTGGAAACATCTGGTGTCTTGGGTGCTTGATAATGTGCAGGCAAGAGACATAGCAGTAAGAATGTCTGTAATGGTGTAAAAACATTAATGCAGTTATAATGTAAAAACATGACCGGTGTGTCAGATGCTTTTGTATCTGGGGGTGTGCTGAGCGCATCAGCATGGGACCAGAACTCTACTAGGGCTGTTCTCCAAAGGCAAGAAACAATTAGGTAATGATTTGATAACCCTGAGGAACAGCAAAGGCGGCTGATCCGTCCGTCAGATTTGTCCTGTCCTTCCCTCCTCCTGCATGCACACTCGCCGAGGCACCCAAAAAAGAGAACGCTACTGCTGACCCTTGTGTGGTTCCTACCAGTTGAACACGGCAGCTTCTCGGAGAAATCGGGCTCAGGTGAAGGACAGTCCTTCACTGTGCTGTTCCTCTGCAGCAGAAGACTGTTGCGGGCTCAGGAAATTCCGGGGAATTCTCCTGCGTTAATAGTGGGCAAATCTGGAGGCTCCTCGCCCAGAGGGTTTGGGGAAATGCCACGCAGTGGGAACCGCAAATCTGCGCCTTGGGGGCAAAGGTAGGAAATGTGGGAGAGGGAATTGGGCCCGGTCAGTCTTACGTCTCGGCCTCCTTCCAGTTGAATAAAACCACAAAGAGAGTTTGAAGCTAAGACCCTGCTGGGAAACTGGAGACAGCGTCTAAGTGAGAGGTAGAAGAACTGCTTTGGGATTGCAGGTGCACTCGACACACGTTCCTGTTCTGTGTTTTGTACCCTGTGTGTGGGCTGGACATAGGGTAACGATGGAGCGGATACCAAAAGTTGAGGGTGCTCAGAAAAGGGTTGGGCAAATGCCTGAAAGAAAGATCCTTTGTCTGGGGCCGTAGGGAGCCCGAGCCACAGGTACGTGGAGCCTGGAAGAAGGCGCTTAGGGGATGTCATTACGTACACCGCCTTTTCTGACGCTCCTCTGTACGCGCCAGCCTGGCCAATGTTGGTGACAGACTTCTGGCTGTTGTGTGTGACTCCACCGGCGTGCCCGTGCCCCTGCGTAACTAACGCTCCGTGGAGGTGTGAAGGTCGAGTTCCCACCTGACGCGGGGAAGTTGTTGGGGTCAGTGGGCTGGGACAGAGGCGAGGTGCAAATGCTGGATTCCAAACAGACCGTGTTTGCAGAGAAGGTGGTAGAAGATTTGCTGCTTGTAGCCAGTAACATTTGCTCTTCAGTAACAACAAAACTGTGGTTTGCCATTTCCTAAGAATAAAGGTTATATTTGGTGTCAGGCTTTTTGGTGTAAGCAGTGTAAATAGTACTGAAGGATGCATTGAATCATTGTTTGAACTGTATCAACCGGGGTGCGCACTCCTTAAAGTACGATTGTTTTGATCTGTTCCCTGTGTGTTTTTTGCAGCTTTTCCGACGCGTGGCAGCTGCCTTGCCTGGAATGGAAAGCACACAAGACAAAAGTAGAGAAGACAGTATCCTTTATGCGTCTGTGCTGCGATTCAGTGGTGGCAAAGCGCTGCCAGGCGTTACCGTGGACGAGGAAAATGCAGACCCTGAATAACAAGGGTGAAGAAGGAGGGAGCGATCTCTCTCCTGCAGCCCCCGGTCATCCCAAAAAGAGGCCCGAGAGGGGGAATGGGGGCAACCTTCGAGCTTGAAGTACTGAGGAAGAAGGCTTGGTGGGACTAGAGAGCTGGGACTAGGGGTGTTAAGGGTGGAGGCCTCTACTGTAAAGGAGGGGAAGTAGGGACGCTTAGGGCTATGAGGTAGTATAAAAGTGAGGACAACCGAATGGAAGCTGAAGGGAGGACAACGGGAAGGTGCAGAAGGGTGCAAACAGATCCAGAACGTTTCTTGGCTGGGTGTTTGAGCAGGGTGGATGTGGGGAGGGAGGGGGAGGCTATGAAGTGGGAGAAAAGAGCTGCAAAGAGGCCTGAAAAAAATCTCGGTGGCTTTTGCGGAGCAAATGCTCAGGTCTGACTTGCAGAATCCTAAAATAAGCTAGGTTGGAAGGGACCTCTGTAGGTCCCTTCTCCAAGCTTTCTGCTCAAAGCAGGGCTAACTCCAAAATCAGGCCAGTTTCTCAGGGTTCTGTTCAGGGAAACTTCAGAAATCTCCGAGGACGGAGCTCCCGTAACCTCCCAGGGCAGGCTGTTGCAGTGCTTGGCCCCAGGCGGCTCTGGGCAGGCATCTGTGTGGTGCGAGGGAGGAGAAGACTCAGCTGAAGGCATCAGCCTGGGGCAAGGGAAAGGAGACGGCCTGAGGGATGGAAAAGGGATAAAGCTTTCTGCATAACAAGCAGTGTGGCTAAGCCTGAATTTCTTACCTGGCCAGGTGGGTGTTTGGGGAGGGCAGCTAAGCCCACATAGGTGCTTTTGTGGGTGGGTTGTAAGAAAAGCTGGGGCAGGGGCTGGAGCCCAAGGCTGGGGAGGAGCGGCTGGGGGAGCTGGGGGGGCTCAGCCTGGAGAAGAGGAGGCTGAGGGGAGCCCTCATCGCTCTCTGCAACTGCCTGAAAGGAGGCTGGAGCCGGGGGGGTCGGTCTCTGCTCCCCAGGAACAAGCGATGGGACGAGAGGGAACGGCCTCTCAAGCTGGCAGGGCAGGTTTGGGTTGGGTATTGGGAAAAACTTCTTCACAGCGAGAGTGGTCAGGCCCTGGCCCAGGCTGCCCAGGGAAATGGTGCAATCACAGTCCCTGGAAGTGTTCAAAACACGTGTGGCTGTGGTGCTTAGGGACAGGGTTAGTGGTGGGCCTGGCAGTTATGTTAACGGTTGGACTCGATGATCTCAGAGGTCCTTTCCAACCTTAGCAATTCTGTGATTCTATAAAACCGTAGGAGTGGTTGTGGTTGCCTAGCATAGCTCTGGAGGTGAAAGAAGTTCTGTGATAACCGAGCCACTTCTTACAATCTCACCTGACTACCTGCTTCTGCTCGCTCGGATTAGAGAGGAAAGGTAAGGCAGAAGGTGGAGAGAGGGCTGCCTGCCTCTCCTCCTGCAGCGAAAGCGCTGGACGGGAGGTGAACGAGCAGGGGAAATCACGGTGGGTACTTCCAGGTGAGAGCAACGAGGGGTTGCGTTGCGTCCTGATGGAAAGAGTTGGTGAGATGCTAGAAGTGGGTGAGCTTTTTTGAGAAGAGAAACTTTTTCAGGGTTGTCAGTTTTCTTTGCAGCAGGGATCGCGTAGCTGGCAGCCGGTACACGGAGGAGAAATGGTGCTTTGGAGGAAGGATGCGGCAGGAGCTGTGGGAGAGGACAAGCCTGGTGCTGAAACTACATCTGTAGAGCATCTTACCGCATAGGGGAAAGGAGGATTTGGGAAGCTGTGGATTGCAACTGCTAAGGCACAAGCTTACGGACTTGATCGATCAAAAATATTTCATTATGCAGGTCAGCAAAAGGTTAATGAGCACCAATCTTTATTAATGAGAGGACGGTGGTAGAACGCAGAGGCAGTGGCTGATGGGCCTGCCGTTTCCCTTATCAGGGAGTTTGATCACCCGTCTCTAACCGGGAGTGCAATAAGGACACTTGGAATTTGACTTCCTGCAGACTGCAGATAGCAGAAATTAAATACGATTGTCTCCCGGACAGCTGCGCTGGGATTCATGGTGGGGGATTTTCCATAGGCTTTTTTGCCCAACATTGAGGGTTCAAGGATCTTGAACTGCTCGTGCTCAGCGATGAAGCTGGCAAGGCTCATTTCGAGCATCTCTGACTCTGGGAATGTGTATTGAGGTTTAGATTGGCGAAACAAACGGACCAAATATTTGAGATGAATTATTGGTCTTTTGTTTCCCTTGTTATTTTCTCCGAACCTCTGTAAAAATCAACTTCCACCCCCTGAAGAAATAAGCGGGAAGTACCAGCTGTGTGCCCTATGCGCCTCTCTGTTAACTGACGAGAAAAACGCTTGAGACTTGTGCCGAACTGCCGTGAGTCGGGTTTTTTGGGGGGGATTAGTGTTCAAAGCTCCTCCTGTGAAAGGCTACGTCAGCGTTGTAACTGCACCAGCTGGGAATTGCAGTGCCGCGAAGGGACTCGGAGCAGCGAGCCCTCCTTACGTTCTCGGTGGATGTTAGCTGTCGTTGCGAGGGGTGAGTTCAGGGAGATGGCAGGGGGTTTGTCGGCTGGCAGTGGGGCGAGCCGAGCGGTTTAACTAGAGGAAGGATTGACGGGAGAGTTCAGGGCGGCACGTACGGAGCAGCGCGTCTGCGAGCTGTGGGTGGTGTAACTCCTCGGGGGCTAGCGATGCGCGCGGCGTGAGGAGGAGCGGCCTCGCTGGAACGTGCTGCTGGGGGGTTCTCTTAGCAGGGCGGATGCTGCCGGCTGTATTCACACCCCTTCTTAAACCCACACAGGCTCTCCTGCCGGCCCCGAAGCTGAGCGCGGGCAGCGGGGTGGTAAGTGCTTGCCAGTTGGCTGGGAAGTGTAGCGTTTGAGAAGGAAAGGAGCTGTCTTGCGTGGGTTCCTCCAGGCTCCTGCTCTCTCCATGGCTTAGCCGGTCTTTGAGGCAGCGGGTTGACCCCCTCCTGGGTGCCCAGCGGCTGGAGGTGCTGCTCGCAGTGCTGGAAGACTGAATCTAGCCTTGATTTGAAACCGGGGCTTTCGGAGCTGTTACTGGTTCCCTCTGCTAAGGGTGATTAGACCCTTCGGCGTATAGATCTTCAATTACCATAGCAATCGCTTGGGAACAAGAAGAGATCACTGGGGAGAAGCAGACTCAGGTTAGAGCCAGACATTCGGGGCCTGACGTCTTCTGCTGCGTACTTCAGAACGTGCCAGTGTCAGGGCGAGAGGGGCTGCTGAGAAACCTCTCTCTTGACTTTGGTTCGAAACTGGTCTTTTCAAGAGCTTTTGAAAAGCCTTTTCAAGTATTTTGCTGGGAAGTACCGAACCGAAAATGCCAGTCAAAATCCTGCCCTCCCTCTGCTTGGCAGGGAGACCGCGTTGGCTATCTGTTTGCCTTAACTGATTTCTTCCAGTGATTGACATAAAACTGGAAAAGCCTCAAGAGCAGCCTGTCAGTGAAGGAGGCTGTTCCTGCTAATACCACGTGGCTTCTACCTTTCTCCAGAACATCACTGCTTTCCCTCCCTTTACTCTTCATTGACTGCAGTGTGAATATTGGCTTGAACCTTCCCCTTTCAGTAATAACGTATTGCAGTTCATCATCGCTGGCTGTCTCGTGGAGATGATCTATTAGCTTCACAAGCACACACACACACACACAAAGAAAATGTCAGTGTCTTCATTATTTATAAGAAAAAAAAAAAAAGCCAAAATATTCCAGCGTATTCTAGTTATAACTTTAAAAAAAAAAAAAATAGGTACAATTTCTTAATATCTGTTCCTTTTTTAATATGTTATGATATTGCACTTTGAAATGATGGAAACTGAGTAAGTTTTGAATTGGACTTAGACGAGATGTACGTGCAGAAGAATGCTTGCCAATCTTCCCCATTTGATTTCTCTAACAAACCGGAGACGACTAGACAGCAGTCAGAAACGCAAGCGGAGGTGGCGTATGCCGAGGTTTAAATGCTTATCCTTACAGTAATAAAAAAAAAAAAACAAACCCTAAAACCAAGCTCTTAAATCGTTTGAGCAGAGATAGTCTGACTGGTTTTCAAACCCCCAAACGTTTTTGGAAACGCAGCCTTAGCTGGGGGGGGGGGTTTCGACACCACGAAAGGCTACTGGATTTTTTAGTTCTTGCAGAGGCAACGTTGAACACATTTCCAAGAAAGCATACTGAGGAGTACGGAGCGTCTGTGGGAGCGGGATGAGTGGCTGCGGGAGGAGGCGGGGGGGAGGAAAGGGTGGATGTGCATTAGCAAAACACTTGCAGGAAACAGGAGAAATACGTTTCGAGTGCAAGATGAGTTTTAAGAGCGTTTTTTTTTTGTTTTCCTTTTATGTAGAACACCGATGAAGTCAATTATTACTGCCCGAGAGCTGGGAACGTACCGTTTCAGCTGTTTGGAGGAGAAAGCTTTTTGCTTCTTTTTTTTTTTTTCGTTGTTTTTTTAGGGGAAATATTAAGTGAATTCAGGACCGGCACTAAAACCTGCCGAAGCGGATTGAAACCTTTTAAATTTGGCAGAAAGAGGAAAGAGCAGCTGGATTACCCAGCGGAGACGCTGTGTTCACAGGCCAGTTCCCGGCTGGGAGAGAGGGGGCGGCGGAAGGGGGGACGGCTCCCGCTTTTCCATAGCGTGGCCGTAGGTCGACCGGGAAAGGGGTGTTTACTTGGATCACGCAGAAATCTAGTAGAGAGGTCTTAGACGGAAAGGAAGGGAGTTTAATAGGATGGGAACCAACTGACGATCATGCAGATTTATGCCTTTATTTTTTAGCATTTTTTTATGTTCAGTCTTCCAAGCTGGTTTAGTTTGGTTCACTAGAGCTGTATAGTTCGGTTAAATAACGAGTAATTTAGTTTTCTATTTAACTAGGCTTACAATTAACCATTTTTCTTTGGTATTTATTTCTTTGCTTAATTTTTTACTCTTTTCAGTAATTATTTTTTGTTTCGTTTTGCTGAGGAATCTGTTTCGAGCTTTGCTGATGTTGCGAGACGTAGCTACCCGAGAAACACGGAATCGAACACACTAGAAGTGCACCCTTTTAATCTTTACTAGTCATTGTGAAGTTGCTGTGTAAGTTAATAAACACAATTGTAAATACATTGTTTGCTGGGCGAATACGGCCGAGTTACAGTGCAGGAAGGAATTCTTGAGTCTGTGTTGCGATTGCTACTTAAACGAACAATTGCAAGCAAATATTCAGGCTCCTCCTTTGTTCTCTTCTGCCCCTCTGCCATCTAAACCAAGCGGGGGAGAGAAAGGGCATCGTCCTCACCACCACTTCCCCCAGGAAACGGGCGTAAAAGATTTGGAATTGGTCATTCCTGACAGGAATGCTAGGCTCCTGCCCTGCCCTGGGTTTATAGCAGCTCTGCACCACAATAACTTAAAGGCAGAATGAGATGTAAAGTGCTTTTATAATGCAATATTAAAGGCGAGTTTTTTTGACGTGGCATGTCTTGAAATAAACATCGATGATATGTGACAAAGGATCATTCTTTATTTAAAAGAAACTCTTGGGGGGAAGGAAACCTGGCTACTTTTCCTGTGTTGTACCATTCTTAACTGTGCAAAACTGGTTCATCCTGCTGCTTTTTCGTTTTGGTTTGGGTTTTTTTTTTTTTCATTTTTTCCCTTTGGTTCTTCAGGCAACTTACGTTGGTCATCATTTGGCTGTTTTCCACAAGCACATTTTTGCTTCCGATAGAACCAAACCCCTGCGTTTCCCATAGTTAGAAGCTTTAAGCGCTGGATTTGCCAGGAGCTGGCTTGTCACGGGCGGGTTACGACGGACCGGCAGCTCGGCTGCTTTTAACAGAAGCTGCTCGCGGCGAGCGGCTGCGCGTCCGGGAGCGCGTTTGTCCTGTGGGCCCGTTACAACTCGCTCCAAAAGAAAGGTGTAGGGAGGAGCATGCCCGCGAGCTCGGCGTTCGGCGCAGCCCGGCGGCTGTGGGAACAAGGAGGGGTCCCCAGGTGTTTGGCACTTACCCCCCGAGGTCTGCTCAGGACAGACCTGCGACCGATGGCCTTGCCGATAGTCAGTGCTTAACGTGACTACAGGGCTCGATCCCGTCCTAATCCCAGTTTTCCAGAGAAAAGACAATTCAAAGGGAGCACAGGAGCAACACAGTCTTAATTTCATTCTTTTTGGTTTTTTTTTTCCTTTCTGCACCATAATTCCTCGCGCCATCCGTCTGTCGGGTTTTAGGCTTTCATTTCATTTTGCTCCATCGACGTGGCCAGTAGAACCACGGGAACAGGCTTTTTTTAACGATGATTTTGTAAACAGTGAAGGTTTCTGCTCTGTTTCTTTTCTCCTCCCCGCTCTGGCTTGATCGTTGTACAGTACATGATGCAGCTATTCCATTACTCACTTTTTGTCTTGATACAAGTAGTTGAAGAAATTGTATAAGGGGAAAAAGGTTCCTTTTCTTCATGTTGGAATGTCACTGGTACCTCAGCTCTGTTTGATAATATGAAACAACAACGACGACGACGAAAAAAAAAAAATCCTTAGCGCTTGAACTAAATAAATACCTGTCTCATTGGAAAGCTCTGGGTCTCTTCTCTAAGTACGTCCATCAGAACGCAGCTTCGTGGGGGTGCAGGGCGTCAGGCTGCCGCTTCTCGCTCCTGTCTCGTGGGTTGGAAGTGCTGCAGGAGGCTTTTTTAAGGGCAAGAGTAAGGTTTTTTGTTGGAGGAAAGATGGTGGAGTTGTGTGCTTACTGTTCCTCCCGTTCTGTACGGTGTCTCTGCGATTGTTTCCAGCGATCGACGAGCGATGCCGAGGACGGGCAGAGGGAGCGCGTCCTTTCTGGCCCTTTCACCCTCTTGAAACGCAGCCGTTTCCTCCGTCCCCTTCCGCAGAGGTGATTTCGGGCGCCTTGGGCGGCCTCGCCGCTGCCTGCTTCAGCTTCCCGGGCTGCCTGCTCCGCGATAGCCGGCGAGCGAGGGCGGACCGACCCCGCCTTCCCTCAGGAGGATCCTCCTGAAGCCTCCACCTTGCCGGAGATGGCGGACGAGGGCTGCGGGGACGGGTCGGTGAGTACCAGTAACAGATGCTCTTTGACGGAGTTATCCTTGTCTGGTATTCTAGGGAAATTTAAACTGGTTTTGGTCTGGTAACACCAGCAGCCTAACCTCTGTCGCTTAAAAAGACCGTCAATAAATAGGTCGTTAAATTTGACAAGGATGAAACTTGAATGTGGCCTGTGGGGATGTGCTGGGGTTGGCGATACGGGAACAGCCGTACGGGGACAGGTCACTGGAAGAGGCTTTCGTCGCCGCGGGGAGCTTCTGTTCCTCGTACCTGGCGCCTCCAGCTCCTGTCGGGGTGGGAAACGGGGAGAAGCGCCCGGAGAGCTGCCCGAGGGCTCTAGGGAATGGGAGGAGGCACCTGAAACCACCACCTTCACCTCGCAAGAGTGGGTTTTAGGATTAATCTGTTGGAGGGAGCTGAACTTAATATAAGCGGGTGTTGTCTCGCGATGGTCTCAATTCCTCCTTACTGCTCCCCGTTGCTGTTGAATTACCATAATGCTGCTGCCGTCCGTAGCCTTGGGGCTGTCCCCTCAACTACTGGTATCCCGATTGCCCACCCAGAAAAGGGAGCTGGATTAAACCGGAGGGAAGGGGCCGTCTCTGGGCAAGGCACGGTCCGGGGGCACCGTCGGCTCCGGTGCAGGATGCTGGTCCTGGCCGCTAGCTCACGGCTGCGGCGGGTCGAGCTCTCTGCTCCCGACCTCGCTGGTTTTTATTAGCTGTGAAGTCGGATAGGGAGCGTCTGGCTCGGATCAGAGCCTGCTCCGTGCTGGCGTTTGCCGATGGCTGCTCCGCTGGCGGGGCCGGCCCTGGGACGCCGTCCCCTCGCTGCGCAGCGTCCCTTCTGCTGCCGGCGCCCCAATCCCTCAGCACACCAGACCCTGAGAGGGCTCTACCTGATGCAGCAGCACCTTTTTCCATGCTGGGCATGTTCCAGCCCCGACAAGAAGATAAACGGAGAGCGGGCAGGCTGCTTCTCGCCGTGCTACCTGCACCGCGGCTGCGGCAGCCGCTGCCCAAGCCACCGCCAGCGGGGAAAGAGCTGGCAACAACAGCTGCAAACCCCCGGACCTGAACACAGCCTCTCCCATCCGCGCGGCCGGAGCGCTCGCTGCTCAGCCACCTCCGTCGTTGCCTGAGCTGGGCTTTCCAGGCTCGCCGGCCTTGGTTTTTCATCGATTTGCAAAAGGATCTTTTTTTTTATTCCCCCCCCGCTCTTTACCCACCTTTCCTTCCCCACCCCGCTCTGAGCGCACACCAAAGTCTAACGCGGTTTTTTTAATAAGGTTTTTTTGGGATCTTCTTATAGCGGCCGAAGGTAACCGCCCGCCCGGACTGACGCCGTAACCGCCCGGCTCGGCCGTGCCGGGAGTTAAACGCCAGCTGATTGCGGTGACACGAGCGGCTCTGGTCCCCGGAGGAGGAGGAGCGGGGCAGGGCTGAAGGCAGCTGGGCGAGCGCCGTTTCCGAGTTGAATCTTCCCGGCTCGCCACCTGTTTCCGAGGTTTTTGGGTATAAATTAAAGCCATCTTGAGTGCTCGCTGTCGGCCACCCGGAGAGCGCATCTGGAACCCGGATTGTGTTCAAGGCTTGATTAAAGTTACCGCTAATTAAAGCGCTGAAATGGCTCTGTATCCCC